CAGTATAGAGCCAGCGAAGACAGTTAGTTGTTGATGAATGTCTGCAACAGGCTGTTGGAGATATTCTTTGTCGCCTGCCAAGTTTCTGATCCGTATAGAAGAACTGACTGACTTGACGTTTGTTTTGAAAATCCAACTGAATTTTGTTGTTGATGCTGAGCGACGAAGATTTCCAGATTAGATTGGTTTCAGGTTGATGAGTGAATGTGTTTCTCGCTCCCACCCGATTCTCACTCGATTTGACATCGTCGACCGTTCCGACTACCTGTATTTGAGACAATGCTCTCCAGATAAGTGAATGAAGTAACCTCTTTCAAATCCCTCCCATTGATGGTGATTGGCGTTGAATGTTGCTGTTGTTGTTTTTGTTGGTTATTTTCTTCACCTCCGTCTTGTCTATGTTCACTCGGAGTCCTGTCTTAACCGGCTGCTTCTCCGACCAGTTTGTCGGTTTTCGCTTGTAAGTCTTCGATTTTGTGTCTGTGACATCAAGCATAAATCATCCATGCGCGAAATCCAGGTCTACTGGGTTCTTCACGTCGGTCCAGGATATTCCTGTCTTCTCGTTTCCCACTGTCTGACGCATAATCCAGTCCATCACAATTAGGAATACCATTGGTGATAATAATAGACTCAAGTTTTTTTTGACCAAAACTCAGATAGTTTATATTTTCAAATTGGATGACTGTAAAATGACTGTAGAAGTTGTTATTCTTGTATTTTATATACATATACATATACATATATATATATATATATGCGTACTATGTACTATCACAACTTTTAATTACATTAAAAATGAATTTCAAATCATAAGGCAGTATAGAAAAGGTAGGCTAATAAAAAAGCACACACACCATAAGCGGTAGGTTACGCAACGCGATAAAAATTTCACATCTTTTCAGTAAAAAAGCACTTTGTATTTTGTAAACCAGTGGAAGAAGAAAGGAACATAAGGTGTTTAGAGAGAAGACAAGTCTGGAAATAAATAAGTCTCGCATTCAGTTATGTAACTTCTCTTGCTAATTAGTGAATATAGTGTGGTAAAACCAAACCTTCAGCACTACCGTGCTACATTAAAGTACTGACTGTATGCATAAATTTTGATGAATTTTTCATAGGCAATCTTATTTTTGAGGTTACCAAAGTGTGACAGAAGAGAAATAAAAAGCTATTTGAAAAGATTTTCCCTTTAGATAAGCCTTGAATTAATTGACAGGATATGTAATTCACAGTGGGGAATTTTAAATCTCTCAAAATATTTAAACTTATTCAAAACTTGTCTCACTCAATAAGCAGTGTGGTGAAAATAGTGATGAATCGTCAGACTTGTCGCCGGCAAAAATTTGTGATATTCTCCCAGAAGACATGTATTCCTTCGTCCTTATGTTTCGGCTTTATATGGAATTTCGACGAAAATCGCCACCAACCGACGTCAATATATATATATATATATATATATATATATATGAAATCGCTGATAAGAAAACAACTATGCAATACAGCTTCTATATTACGTCAACAACACTTCACTACAATGAAAAATTCCTCACTCTTCATGAGATCATCTTTCCCAGTAGTGTGTTATAAAGAAAGTGAAATATGTGCATGTCAATTCATCAAAACCTTTATTCAAGCATTCCCCCCCAGCATGATTAAAAAATCGTTTTGTATGACTTGAAATCTCAGAGCTGCTTTTCATTCTGTCATAAAGCTTATTGTTTATAGCCAGTGAAATGTAGATGTAACCCCACAAATTTTATTTATTTATTTTTTTACGAGTTGATCACGGATTGATATCAGTTAGAGAGAACCATTGAAAACCAGCTGGGAGTACTGGACAGAAGTTAGATAGATAGAAGTTAGAATTCACGAGCCATTGAATCGGGTCCCAGTGGCTGAATGGTATACGAGCCAGCTTGCCTTGTAACCGGAAGGTCCTGGGTTCGAACCCTAGCGGTGGGTGCGTACTTCCGATGATTCCCAAACTAGTTGGATGAAACAGCAGCTGTCTGGCAGTACTCCCTGTGGCTAGTTTTCAATGGTTCTCTCTAACTGATATCAATCCGTGATCAACTCGCAAAAACATAATAAACCCTTACAAACCAAACTATAGAAAATTTATTTATTTATTTATTTTTTACTGATTTAAACATTCTCATTACTATAATTAGAGAAGTTAGTAATTATCACTACTCCTAATAATTAATACCCTTCCCACAAATTTTGAGATCAGCATCACTGACTACTCACTGGGGAATACAGGTACGTCTAGATGACGAGTCCCAAATGAAATGATGAAATGCGCGTTGTCCTGGATTCCACAACTGCTAGTCACCATCAACCAAATAAATCTCCACTTATAAAGATTTCGTGAATTCCTGAAAAGAGAATTGGGCAGTAAGTAGTACGTGTAGATCAGTTAAATACTGCTCTGATGAAGTGTACACATTAAGTTGTTTTTCTAGCTTCTATCCCCTTATTTTATGACTATAAATAGATTAGGGGGACCTGCCAAATAAACAGGGTTTTTTTTTAAATAAATCTATCTCTATACATCTTTCTTACTAGGAGTTGTAATTTAATAAACACGATAACAAAAAAAGAAAAGAGAAAGTAGGGAAGAAGAAAGAAATCGTCTGTAAGTTTGCAAAGATAAGCATTCAGAACAACGAGGCAGTAACTCTTTGAAGAAGACATTGCGAAGTAGTCGCGCTATGTCGTGAATTGGCAGAAGTTAGAATTCAAGAACCATTGGATCGGTTCCCAGTGGCTCAATGGTCTACGAGCTCACTGGCCTTGTAACCAGAAGGTCCTGGGTTCGAACCGTGGCATTGGGTGCATACTGATGAAGAGTCTCAAGCTAGGACGAAACAGTTGTCCAGGTTTTCCAGTGGTTCTCCAACTGATGTCAGCTCATGATTAAATCCTTCATGCAATCAAAATACTATATAAAAATATGACTTCGAACATGTCGTTATATCAGTCGTGATAGATATCTTCTGTAGAAGACAAACAGAGATGTATTACATGAAGGACATTTAGTAATACTCCTTTTCAAGAAGACAAAGGCTTGTACAAAACACATGTACACACACATGGAGATAACAAAAAATGAGATTCACAAGGTGAAGTGTTTAAACGACTCACTTATATATAGATAGATACGCACACATACACACACACACATACAGAAAAACAAAACAGTCTTGACAGTAGTGATGACCCCGATTATTTCAATCAAGTTATTAGAACCTTTTATAACCCATCATCATCACTTTCAACCTTCCGAGTGTATTTAATGTTATTGTGAATGCCAATTTTTTTATTTTTATATTTCTCTTATTTCTTTTGGCTATCATGCGTGTTTCAGCCTGAAGAGTATTAAGACTAGTAAAAAGTCTAGTTAGCTGTTATTGTTGTTATCACGAAATATAAGAGGAGATTTTCTACACTTTTGTCAAAGACTACAGAAAAAAAAAAATATATATATATATATATAGAATGGTTCAGCTTGAAAGCGAGTCATAAGTACTATTGAGTTAAACAAAAGTAGCGCATAAAGAGAAAACACAATACAAGACAGCTATAATAACTCTAGAAATTAAAATTAACCTTATCTTTTTAACTTAGAAGATAATATCACTTAAATTAGCTGATAGAAATTAGTTACAATGAGTGTATCAGAGTGTAGGCTGTGTATGCTTTAAGGCTTTGACCCTTGTGTTAATTTAAACAGTAGATTTCATGCTTAATGATATAAGGTTATACATATATATATATATAAGTAATTTAATCACAGTTTAGATACTTCCAGTATTTTTCTGGACACTTAGTACTTTTGGTGCATATCTCAGTGCTGAGACTGCAACCCGAAGAAGAACCATCACTTCGGTACAGAATACACTAACTGGTCTAAGAACGTTCTGGCGACAACAACAAAAACCGATAAGAAAGAAGTAAAATAACAAGTTTCTAAGGAATATTGTTGATTAATCAACTTATTAATCCTGTAAAATCAGGCATGAATTAATAATCATCAAGTTCGTTTGTCTGTTTTTTTCCACAAGATTCGAAAACCAAACTAGGTCGTTGATATGGCATCAAAGTACGCAGTTATTAGAGTGTAAATATGTAGATGTTAGGCACTACGATATCATAATCAAACTGATAAGATTATAAGCAGCAATATAATTTATACTTGAAATGCTATCCAGTTTTGAATACTGCATCATCAGTGTAGGGTATTTGAAATGAACTTATCTAATATGCAAAATACATGTGTTCATCAGTAATTCATACATTTAAATTCAGTATGCCAAATACCCCTATACTTTTTTTAGTTATATCCACAATTTCTATGAACACAGTGTGGTCATTGTCAATCTATTCAACTAAGTTTCCACCTTGCGCAATGCTTTAAAAATTCTGACATGTCAGTTAAACTATAAAGACAGTTTGTAAGTCGAAACTTATACAATTAATTTCAGGTATGCGCTTCAGTTGTACGCAAATACTGAAAGGACACCAGAAATGCTGAGGGTGTCTAAAGATACTATAAAACAGATATTTGAAGTTACACTGACATTCAACAAATACGAAAGTACTTGAGGTAGAATTTATAGGCAATCTGTTAAGAGTGCATATTATAAAAAGCCATGAAGCGCTAAAGTCTGTACACAATTGCTTTTAAAATATCTTAATCGGTTTCGACCTCATAAAGGAAACATTTTTTTGAATTAGCTGACTCACTAAGCTTAATTACGACATTTTGGGATGTAATTCGTGAATAGAACTTTAAGTTTACCAAATGAAGAAAAGCCAGTTTACTTTACAATTCATATAACTTGATGGAAACATATGTTTTAATGAAGAGTTTTGTTCTTATCTTTATGTAGATACCAAATGACCTCTACAGGTTTTAAATCTGTAGATAAACCTAGGGACAAATGCATACAAGTATTTCTGCTAATAAACAGCTTAAAAATTTATTTACTCACCGTTCGTACTCCTTGTTCAAGAAATGCACGGATTGTTTCAGAAGCTCTCCTGAGTTTTATTGCTGCACGACTTTCAAAGTCTTCAACGCTCACCAAAACATGGAGCTCTTCATCTAAGTGTTCCCAGTTTGGTTTGCCCCTGTTTAAGTCCTCCTGTTAGAGCATTTTTTTGTTTTCGCATCCGGCATAAATGCAAAACAATGTTCATGTTAACAAAATTTTAAAAAAAACATATCATGGTAAACAACCAAATCGAGAAAGTATGTTTATGGAATAACCACAAACCGTAATCATACCTTTCGCTGGAAACATTTCTTTTCTCAAATAAGTGGAACTTTAGAGTATTCTGAAAGAATCTCAGGTGTGTGGTAACAAATGCAAAGTAAATATAGTCACTTAAAGGGGTGGTACAATGCGGCCTCTTCGCATTCGTCAAGAAAAAAAGAAGTAATTCTACTGAAAACAACTAAATATCTGTAATACGATGAACAATCTGGAGATGATGGCATGACTTATATCCAAAAGCTCATCAATCTAAGTGTTCCATAATTTCAAAATAGACTAGCTGACGAAATATGTGTGATAAAAAGTTTCCGAATTTTGAAACATCCAAAAGTAAATGCATGAATGTATTTTTACTTATCTAGGATGGAACCTGGCCTTCAGCTACGAAGATCACCTAGTTTCTCCAACAGTAACAGCTACCAAACTAGTAGTACTTATCTACGGATAGTATGACCCCGTGAAAATTCGAACGATATCTATACGAACCATTAGAAGAAGCAGGTTAAAAACAAATTTATCTCTATAATTCTTCCTTAGAAGGTATCTAAAAAAATCTTAGATGCGTTAATAAATACGACAGGATGTCAACAGACATAACACCACAGTAGAAGACCATGTTTTTTCGTACAAAACAGCGAGACATAAATGATTATGCTAAATAACTGAAGGAAGACGACCTGATGGAGACAATAAAATAATTATAAACATTTCTTATGCCTTCTGACTAATCCCTACAGTAATTTTCCGTGTATTTTAAGTGAGGGCGAAATGAATACACTTTATGACGGTGTGTGTCTGCTCTATGCAGTTCATTGTCAGTATTCTACTTATTTCAACTTATTCCCTTTGCCACTTCTTTTAACATTCTTAATTTCTTAAATCTTCCCCCAAACACCTGAATACGGCCATGCATTTACTTAAAAGAATATAGCAGCGTATATATTATGCCTTACCTTACTAAACAAAAAGGGTCGAAAAATGAATATGGAATATGCCTGAACCATTTAGCGGGCTATAAGTTACGTTTTTAACAATTTCTTCGTGACGCCATTCAACAGTTATGGAAAATGGTTTAATAAATATAAAGAGGGTATACGAGCAAGTTCCCGTGTTATAAAATAACTAATTACACTAAATAGCTCCACAAAACACAGTGTTTGGCCAAAATCTATTTTATGGGTATTAATTGCTTCTACATACATATCAGACAGAACAAACATAATTTACTCTTCTCACCACTAAATTCATAGTGGTTTTTTCTCTCACCTACTCCACATTAAGCAAGTTAAGTTAGGTACTACATAAACGTTTGAAAACACTTTCTGGAGATAGTTACTTACCTATTAGTAGTAGTTAAAACAAACAAGTACGGTTTTAATAAAAAAAATACGGAGATAAGAAATATGACTGCTTGACGAAAATATGTCGAATGTGGTTTTTTGTACAGTTTAAAAGTAACAAATTCGCAGGATATATGAAAATAAATTTTAGGTTAATTATTTACCTTTCGTTTGTCTCTTAATGATCCTTTGCCTCTGACCATGATCTTGCACTCCAAATCTTGCTCAAGCTGTTTAGCTGTTAAACCTCTTGGACCAAGAAGTCGTCCAACAAAGTTATACTAGGACTCAATAAATCTTCAGTTATTTAGATATGACTTACGTTCGGATTTTCTTTTACTGGGACAAACACTTTCTCTTGTAGCGATACAATGTTACCTGATGGCATCGGAAGTTCATTCTCAGTCTTCTTCACAGACTCATTTAAATGAAAAAGCTTCTGCCTAACACGCGTAATTTCTGCAATAAAACATCAAAAGCAATTGTGAAGAGGAAATCAAGAAATTGAGGGACAAACGGATTCTGAAAGAACACTCAAATTAACTTTATTATTGTGAGAATACCCTGATTACCGATTTTAAGAAATTAAAACTAGGAGCTGATGTTACTGTAATACCTCCAAAATATATTAGAATAAGTGCAATACCAGAAATCAAGCTTGTTTTAGATTAGTATTTCAAGACCCTTTAACAAATAATGCTAGCCAAAATTTTAGTCATACAGAAGGTAACGTTAAAGACTGAATTAGATTCTAGTTAAAAGCACAAATGATGTATTATTTTTAATTCGGTAACATTTTTAATAGCTAACTTCAACATTTAAACAAAATTAGTATAATTCTCTACATATTAACGACAAGCTAAAGCAACGTGTGGTTTGAATAGTAAAGTGTGAACATAAGGCTAATTTGATGAGCGCTTCAAATACAAGAAGATCGTAAACAAACTAAAACTGATAAATGTTAGGATGCAGATACGGTTTTGTGATCTATACTGAAACTCTGTTAGTTCTGACATTACCTCCGCACCACCTAAAAAAAGACACAATCTGGTAATTTCATCTTAAAAATATTGAAAGAGAAATAGGTAATATTTACCTTTTTCCAGAATGAACTCTAAATGTAAAAAGATGTTTGGAAAATTCTGTAGCTGTCTTTTGTCTTTGAGCAGTTCTTGGAGATATTCTGGTGTAGCTTTATGCATTAGCACTGAATCAATAACCACGCCATCATTTTTCCTTTCGATCTCACTCTTTTTTGTGAAGTTTTCGTCCATTTACACAGTATTCCATTCAACAGAACTAGTGCGAGAATGGATAACGCTAATGCATAATGTGCAGAAACTTTCAAAGCTGTGCCACTTTGGAGCCCAGTTATTTGGCACAGATAAACAAAATAACATGTTATGTACTGGCCCATTCATTTTGGTCATTTAATTTCTCCCTCTACCTTACTAGGTGAACCATTATAATCTCAAAATTATAAAACTGAGTAAAATCTAAAACTCTTCATGTTCATTACGACCAAGCACTATATCCTCAAACAATAAATATGAGTCTGAATCTGTGTGTAACCCACAATATCTCAGTATCGTTATGTTCATTTTGTATAAGTAGAGAGTCTTGAAAAGCCATGAACGCTACTAGTCGTCAAACATTTGCCCTTGTCGCCCAATTTGTATCTGACTATTGAAACTGACGGAGGCACATTAATTTAATTTTTTTATTTTTGATTACAGCTTCATTCCACACCGTATTTTTGGTACAAGTATGGAATTTTCAGCATGGATATCGGTAGCCCAAATTTCGCAGGCCGACTATAGATATCAGATGTGCGGCGGTGTGAGCTCGAACCCCGGACCGTGTGTATGGTCGGCGAGAGTCCTAACCACTGTGCCACCGACGCACATATATGTCTGTTTCTTGTGATCATTAAGTGATCACAAAGATTTCGACAAAGTTTTAGAGGGTAATTTCAGGATGACATGATAAGATATGAGGACTCTTTCCTAACTTATATTTTGACTTATGAGTTACCGTAAATTTATGAAACAATACTGGCTTCCAAAGTGAAATAAGATCATGAAGTTATAGTTTTAAATAATTTAACCGAATTTCATACAAGTTAATCCACTATTGAGCTCGTAACGACATTATTTCCACAAGTGTTGTCTAGCCTGAGAAAATCAAGCTAACCCTTTCTCTGAATTCGCACTATATCTTTAATTAACTTTTTATTCGGGGATATAATTGCAAACAGATAGCGCTGCATAATATCTTTCTCTCGTTCCATAGAATACTCTTATCAGCTAGGCATAACTTGACAGCATTCCATGAGTGGTTAAGCGCGGATTTTGTGCAAAACTGGTGGCGATAAAATTTGTAGCATGATAGGAACTGGTAATAGGAACCGGTAGCATAAAATGCTTAGAAACCAACGGCGGACAGCACAGTTACGAGGTAATGTTTCCTTAATTCTGTTTCTTCCAAAATGTTTAGCTGAAGCACCAATTCACTACGTTTGCGTGAACGAAGGTCATCCCTCTTTGGTTCTGTGCTGGAATACTCTATGTCTCTATAAAGGAGATTTATTTTAGAAACCTACTTATTTTGAACTAAGATCAGGTGATATTAGTCTACTTAACGTACTGAATGCAGTCTGGGATTTACTATTGGAATTACATGGAAACATTAAACACCCTAAAACAACAATTATTGTACTGACACTGATGACAATGAAATAATTAGGTTCGCTGTTGTTTGTGTCGTCTAACGGGGCCCTTAACACCGTTAGCTGGTACACCTCTTTGCATATGGCGCTTAATGATTTCCAGAAAAAAATGAAACTTATGAGGTTTGATTGAAAAAGCCGACAGCTTTTGAATCAGCTGTGTTCTCTGAGCTGGTTGATTTAATTGATAACCTTTTTTCGGCCTTCTGGACGCCAACTTCAACGCACGATTTTGGTAAAATATGAACTCACTTTTCGGAATAAAATCAACCAGTTCAGAGAATACAACTGATTCAACATCATTCACTTTTTTATTAATGCAGACAGCTGCCAATATTGACTCACTAAAACATTCTATGACTAGGAACCCGCGGAAAAACATGTTGTTAGAAGAATGGATGGCACTTGCTGATTGAAATATAACAGAATATGATTTACAAGTAAATTATCCCAGACTGCTGGGGCATTCAAGTCAGTCTAATCCAGTGGAACTGTTGCGATTGCTCCAACGAAGGACGAAATTTTACACAAGAACGACAGAATGCAGGTTGAAAGCTCCAAAGAGCGACTAAATATAGTTTAAATGTGGTTATGGCAGGCTAAACGGAACAGTGTCATTTTTTGGAAGAAAACAGAAGTGTATATATTAAAGATCATCTCATATATACTAAACGATATTCCACTAGTTTCGCGGGGATCAAAATGACTGTGCAAGACGAAAAATTTAGGGAAAATTGAAATTGATGAATATAAGTAGGAAGGGCGTTTTTCAGTAATGATCGTGTCGGACCAACTAATTCTGGGATGTTATTAAGCTTTATCACTTAAATTTCAGTGGGCTGATCTTAATAACTGCCTTACCTAAAATAACACTTACGTTACCTACGAGGCTATTTATCTCGTCAGACCTAAAGTTCGGTCACGCGAATCACTGGCTTCACAGACTCGCCAATCCTCATACTGTGGCCAGGCTGTTTCTAAGGCCGTCTCGAACCACAGAACAGAAGTAAGGTGCATATATTTGTTACTGGATGAGCTCAAGTGGACGAGTATAGAAAGGCCCCAATAATACAGGCACTACGGACTGGTCCTTAAAAAACCAATATATCTTCAATTTACTCCTCATCCTCCATTCATCGGGGTAAATGTAGTTGAGGTTAAAATTTCCAAGGTTCAATCGAATCACTGAACTTCACTGATCATCTAATCTTTCTCTGGTTTCTTATTAGCGGTATTCCATTTTCATTGCAGGTCGTATAACCAACTCAATCCTTAGATTAATTTACGTACCGTAACTTGTCGTACTCTGGTTGATCAAGGCAATAAAAGTGACGATCTTAGACGGAAGCGAAGAGCAGGATCTCAATACATTAAATGCATGTGACGAAGATGGCTATCACAGTAATAAAATTTGATCTGAAACAAGTCAGTAATTAATGACCGGGAAATACCGTTCTTTTGCCTGGGTGATTAGAACAAAAAACTACATACCATCAAGGAAACGTGCCCCATCACTCCCAAACTATTTTAAGTCAATCAAAATTAATTTATATCTTGCCAGTTAAAAATTCGAGGTTCAACCAGGTACTAGAGTACGCAATTCCACTATAAACATGCACATCCGTGAGAGCTTTCCATTGGAATGCCGAGATGTCAATGTTAAGCACTGTAGGGAGCATCAGCGCAGTAGTGACTTCGAATAGCTTGAGCTATGATTTTGCAATCATCCAGAATTAAATGCTGGCGAAATAACCTATTAAAGTGCATTAATTTCCACTGCTCTGCGTGCAATATACTTCTAAAACTCAGTAATCATATTAAGGTACGCTCTTACTGAAGTTAACGAAAGTTAATTGGTTGAACACATCATCTGTGTAAGAAGAGACATCGCAGATTTATGGCTCCTCCAAAGTCCTTTGAGAGTACTTTAGAGGAGCTTGTATTCAACAATAAAATGCACGTCTCAAAAATAAGAGTGAAGAACATTATCATTTGGAATGAAATAATTATCATTCGGTGTCCCCACTCGCAATTAATATTTTAAATGCTTCCTACCCCTTGAAATGATCAGGATTACCGACTATTAAGAACACTTACATCCCCAACCAGCTATCGTGACGAGGAAATTTGACTAACGTGTTTGCTGCCGCACCCTACGTTTCATAAAGTTCAGTTCCCGCTGGACATACTGCCAAAAGATATGGTTACTAAGCCAGCAGTGACCAGATAACCACGTGTTAACATGCTGCCTGTGTCCTATTCCATGTCAATCATATTAGTTGTACTCTCTATGACCTACGTCTCAAGTAGCACACATAGCTTAAGATACATATCGCCATTAAGCTGAAGTTTCTGTCATCATCTTCAGCTGGTTTTGCGACTACTCACGTCCGCAAAGTATTAAAGTATACAACAGATCCTTGGAAATACCTTCCTTAGCGTGAGGCCCAAGCCTCCGAACCCCATGACAGTGCCTACTGGCTCCACAGTGGTGCCGAAATTTCACATTTTTGTCACCTTGCCAAGCGCCGCATACCTCCACCTCGATTCCAGACTAACGGACACCTGTTTTGCTTCCCGATATGATCCTGACAGTCTGTGACATCCTCATCAATGCGGTTTATAGTTGGAACGATGCAAAAAAGGCAGGTAACTTTCGACTGGTATTTGTTGCTGCTATTCAGGTTTGTCCATCGCCTCTGTTCTTTATGTCTTCATTTGAAGTTCTGTCTTCGCTGCCTCTTCTACTAACCTCATAATATGAATTAAAATGTGGAGGGCATGTTACATCGAGGCCCTGATGTGATTATGGGCAATAAGTTGTTCCAGAAGAGTCGTCAGTAAACAACACTGTATTACACTATATGATTTTGGCGAGTGATTTCACTGTATGATAGGAAATATTGTTTGTTTTCAGGGGGGCTATTCCTCTTATATCCTGCAACCTCCATTCCACATACATAGACAGGACTCATCGATCTCCGCAATTAAGGGCTTCAGAGCATATTCCTAAGCGGCTTCGGAAGCAAATACAATCCTGAAAAACTAGTAATAGTGAGAAAATGCCAGAAATATAGTGGTCTTCACTCGGAAGACCCCAAAGATATGATAATCTTCTGAATTCCATCGTAACAGGAGGATGGACACAACACATAAATTCACCCACTAGATCCGCAAATATCCTAGACCTTATTTTCACGAACAACATAACAACATCTGCAGTACATATGAGACGTGAATTTCCAGGTAGTGACCACTAAAACAGTAGTGTGTTCTTTTGACATCTTTCCTGAAACAATATGCAGAGATGAAGCTGGCCAGACACCTATAAGATTGTACACACATACTGGCTGGGACTTGTATAAGCGCCTAATTAGATGCTCTAGTCGGAAATCGCACTTTTCGAACGAGCCCTTAGAGGCAATTGTTAACAACTTTCATCACATTATTAACTCAGTTCATGATGTCATTGCACCTGAGTAGATTCATAGGTTCAGATTCTCCCAAAGCGATTATATTCCGAAATCGTTGAGGAGAAGCCCATAAAAGCACTAGATAAAATACTACAGATATCATGAAGTATCATCATTGATTGGCATTACGTCCGTTCTCAATAGAATTGAAGAGTTGAGAAATATAGGCCTCAGAAACAAAGAAATGCAGGCCATTCAGGCGCAGCGTAACTCAGGAGAAACAGCCAAACTTTTTAAAAATAGGTCGACGAACTCTAAAACAGCCTACCTGAAAATAATATACTCAGACGGCATTGCTTACGAAAATAATGAGGCGATGAGTGAACTTTTAAGCAAGCACTTCGCCAGATTATACACTTTAGAGAAAGATGAGCTCGTGGACTTCACGCGTAAAACAGACGAAAGTTTAAGTGACATACTTTTCACTACACATGAGGTCGATAAAGCTGTTGCGAATCTTAAACTATTGGGCCAGACGGTATATCTTCCATTCTACTGAACAACGGTGGTAATGACATGAATTTGCTCCTACTCAAGTTATACTCAATTCGACTAAGCGATGGGGCATACCCTACCTGCTAAAAGAAGTCATATATCGTATCTATCCATAAATACGGGCTTGTGACTGATATCAACGACTGCCGCCCCATCAACATAACGTCTGTAGTTTTACGTGTAATGAAAAAGATAGTAAAGAATCAAGTCATTCGGTACTTGCTTTCAAATGACCTACTATGCCCATACCAATACGGTTTCTTAAGTAAAAGGTCGTGAATTGTTTAGCATTTAGATTATTTTGATTACATTATGCGATGCATTGATAATTGATAATCAGTAACAACATGATTCCTCGACGTTAGCGAAGCCGTTGATGAAGTTCCTCATATCAGACTCTTAACAAAACTCCAATTGTACGGAACAATTGGAAAACTTCTCAAATGGATAAATTTATTTCTCACAGAAAGAGAGCAATTAGTCAAAATCAACCGAAGGAAGCGTCTTTGATCCTAATCTATTCCTCTTGTTCATAAATGGCACGGTCTCTGTGATCAAGTATGACAGGCCATACCTCTTCACAGATTATCTCAAGATAGTGTATCATTATGGGTACGATGGCATAAGCGTCGAAAGTATAAAACTTCAAGATTATAATTGATAGCATAAGTGATCGTGTCTGTAAAAATAGCATACATTTCTGGTAAACACCATTTTATACGAAATATAAATTATTAAGCGAGGTAAAGCCCAGCTTGGACGCTGCAAACAGAGAATGTGCCTACGTATGTACAGTAAGCTCACCTCAAAACCGAACATAGTCACAGACCTCGGGATGACATATTCAGACTTAACATTTTCCGACCATGTAAATAAGGTTGCATCTGAGTGTAAACGACTTACTGGGTTTGTACTGAGTAACTTCTACACTCAAGAAGCAAGATCAGCTATATATAGGACATGTATCCGTCCCAAACTTGAATATTGTGCTCTCCTATTTAGTAACCTCAGGTCTGTAGAGAGAAAGAAAATCGAAGGTGTCCAGAGATTCCTCACGAAACGCATAATAGGGTTTGACCAACAAGTGGAATATGCTGACAGGTGTGTACGTCTGAAACTAGAACCTCTGTGGTTAAGGAGAGTGAAGTGCAACTTATTTCTACTCTTCAAAGTCATTAAGAAACATTGCTACAGTAACTCATTTTACAGCTCTTTATGACTTATTATATTCCTACTCTCTGAAGGGTACGGTTGTGCACTAAATGCACAAAAAGGTATAAAACAAAAACAACTGGCACAACGGAGGATAAATGTATTAAAACCAAAAGTGGACATCTTGATAGTACGAGATATACGTGTAGCATTATACATTGCAAATGAACGTTGTCAGCCTAGGGAGTTTCCTTTATTAATGCATTTATTAGTGATACTTGCACTTACCTATTTCATTACAATTTAATGATTCACCTCAGCACTTTTACTTTTCTAAAACAGCTTTGAATCCCTTGTAGAAGTTGTACTTACCTCAATATTGGTTGGTTATCGAATACCGACAACTACAGGATGAAAACGAAACGAAGTCGATTTTCCCGCTCAACCTGGAGGACAATTGTACAATTCAACAACTATACGGCCTAGTTCAGACAATGTGTATTATATGTATCAAATATTTAACAGTTGAAATATGATTAACTTGTAGACAATCTGAGATTTGAGACTATATCTTACTTGATCGTGCCTGTAAAAAAGGGCATGCATTTTCATGTAAATTTTTTTTTAAATTTGTATGAAATACATTACATTATTATCATCCATAACGTGGGAAAATATTAAATTATATCAGCTGCGAAACCACGACTACCTTGTCAAGGTGGCTACCCACAGAAAATCCATTAGGGCAAACTTTTTCACCATAAAATATTACACTCTTTGGAACCAACTACCATCTGAAATAAGATGTTGTGAAAACCCCGATGGGTTCAAACGGAGCCTAGAAAGACACTTTAACATGTCCACCCTAGCTCGTCTAAAAGACCACAACTGTTGGTAGAACGGAAATTGAAGGCCAGTCCAGTCTTCCGTATAGTCACATACGCATAACTACACTCCACTAATTACTCAACAGACGTTTAACTAATTTACTGATTTCTATTTTCTATAATCTTCACTAAGCTGTGTTGGTATAAGTAACTCTGGAAAAATTATATTGGCACACACACCTTTTAATATCTTACATATGTATATACAGTTAATAATACAATGCTATTTTTCTGTCGAAATGACTTGACCCATTCAATAGCTACCTTTTTTCAAATACTTTTCTAAAACAAAAAATTTTTATGATAATTTGCTTTATTTTTAACAATACATAAGTTGAAGGGTTACTTTGCAATGTCTTATGCGTACCGTATGAAAGTCGGTCATGAAAATTCAGCATAACTGCCTCTGCCAACCAACTGTTTTCTACTGGATCATTCTACATGATTTTATCACAAATTATTCCCCTACCCATTTTACTCTGCTAAATAGACTCTAACTTAGTTTATATAATTCATCTACTTCTAATCTTTATGCTTCTTCAAATAAACGCAAGATCCTAGGCGTTTGTAAGAAATACTTGTATACGTGCATGCATGTATAAGGGTGATACTGCTAAGAATGTCCTCAGGTACCGATGTATCTGGCCACTCAATGTGAATCGTACGGCATCCGCACAGCAATGCAATGCTGCAACTACAGTTGTTGCCGAAAGATCTCAGAGCTCAACATCAAAAAGGAGGGGAGGTTGCGCATGCTGATCAGCAGATATGGTAGTGGTCACAAGTGTGAACCGCTCCGATCTGTAGGACACAAACTTGCATTTTTTAACAGCTCGAGAAATAAACATTGGTCTGGACCCTCAACAAAAAATAACAAGGGTTGAACAGACCTAAGTCATAAACAAAGTGCTTTTGCTGCTTCCACCTGTCAATATCCAGGTCTAACTACACTTGACCTAATGCTGTCCCTAGAAGACCTTCAGCAACAATATGCAATAACCAATGCAAAAAAACAGAACACAGATCGGTGGGGAGGGTATATACGTTGTCTCGTGTTATATTTTCCGCGACTAATTTTTTTTCGTCTTTCATTGGCTAGAATGGTGGCGGTCAATTGGAGTTTGAATTGTCCTTGGGTGCGTGCTGTCGGGTGCTGTATTTGCGTGGTTGTGTTTGCGTCGTTTGCCAGCATATGTGATTACTGTAAACGTGTATTAAACTATTGTAACGCTTTGTTTTTCTTTGTTTGTGCATGTACTAGGCATTATTTGTCGTACAATTCGTTGTTTGGTCTATTGGTTGCTTGCGATGTCAACGAACCGGTGGGTTCTTGTGTTTTTCTGTAATTTAGGTTATACGTGCGGTATTTTCTTGATGGTTATCGATCATCCCTGTATTTCAATGTTGTTTTTTTACGATTTATGTTGGAATAGTTGTGACATAGATGGATCCTAATTGATAACTTTATTTTAGTCCGTTGCAGGTAGTCAATTCGAGTGACAGGAGCACAGATTTAAGTGGAATTTTTGCTGAATACATACTTGGAAAGCGTTTCTTCAGCTGGGATGAATTTGAGAAGTCATTAGCAGAATTTCAAAAAGTGAGGAAGTCATTTAATGCTAACAGTGTAGTTATCCTACACTCACTATGTTCATAATTGCAGCAAAACGATACCGGATGCCAGGTTTAAGTACGCTTATGTTGGTTTTAAATGCACTTTTGGAGTGAATCGTACAAGACCTGGATTGAAATTGAAAAACAAGTCGTAAGAAGAAGTGTAATATGATTTCATGAATATTGCAGGTCTAAATGTTGCAATTGCTCGTCTTCATTTCGCGTGGTTTTGCATTATAGTGAATACATAATTGCTTCCCACAATATGGTGCATAACCATCCATGCAGCAGGGTGTACATGCAGAATGACCCATGGTATAGACGACTAACAGTTGAAGAGAAAGAAAATATTGAACCACTTCTTCAGCAATCCCACTCATCCGATGAAATAATAATGCATGTTAAGGAGAAGTACAACAAGGATATAACTCGCATTGACGTTAAAAATATGAAAGCCGCAGTGAATAAAGGTAACGTTGACGTACTTGTTACATACTTAAGGTATTTCGAGTCGTCGTGACATTTTTGAATTCCTAAAATCCCGTGGGAAGTTAATGGAGTATTATTCCGATGAACCGATCAGGAATTCACTAACAAGAATTTGTTTTGCAACTTATGAGCAAATGGAATTGTATAAACAGTTCCCTGAAGTTGTTGGTATCGACTCGACGTATAATACGAATAAGGGGAAGTAAGTTTACCAATTCATTAGTCAACGTGCAGGTATTCTTTGTTCCAGCTACTTGTGACGGATAATTTTGGTCGTGGACGACCAGTTTTATTTGCGTGGACTAGAAAAGAATTCAAACGAGATGTAGTTTGGATATTAGACTGTTTCCGGCAAATAATGGAAGACACCTCGAAAACAGAATCCTTCATTATGGATTGTGCGCAAGCTGAAATAGCAGCCGTCAAGTTAACGCACAGACAAGCGCACATTGTTTTGTGTTCTTTCCATGTTTGCCGAGCTTTCTGTCGGAAAGTAAGTTTTTCAAAGCATACTTTACATTTTATTCGTAGACAAGAAATCCCATTGTGAAGAACTACTTATGCCGTCTAGTGCAGTGTAAAAGGAGATCAGAGTAATGCCTCTATTGTTCTCATTTTGCAGATTTAATTTCTACTTCAGAGTTATTAGCAGATTGGATGCTAATGTCAGTCAATACCTACAACGTCGTTGGATGCATCGACGAGAATTGTGGGCGGCCTGTTTCAGAGATAACGTGCTGACTTTTGGGAACGATACAAATAATCGTGTCGAGAGTTCCCACAAGCAGATGAAACGGTTTTTGCAAAGATCTGATAGTCTGCATAAAAGTATGCTAAAGGTGTATAAATGGCATAAACGAAGTTTTTCAATAATACAGCAGGAGGCGAATATTGCTCAATCACGATGCTTCACGTATCCCTGTTCACAAAGTTTAATCCCAATTATACGGTTGCTTACACCATACGCCGCGAGGAAGGTAATACGTGAATACCAATTGCGACGATGGGCTACTGTTGAGTTCGAATCCGTTGATTATGTATTTTTCAAAGAAAATGGGAATACAGTGCAGGTTGATCTGAGTGCTTGCACCTGCACGTGCTTTACATTTCAGACCTGTCGGTACCCCTGCCGACACTTGCTTTTGGTCCACTTAAGAAAGCCGTATTTCACAGGTATATTTGCGTTTTTATGACTACGTTTTTAATGTATAATGTAATGTAATAATCAGTTCATAGTTATCTTAACTTTTTTTGTTCCACCTTTTGTAGTTAACCATGTGATGCATAATTGTAAACAATGGACGTGGTCACGCAACTTGTTCGCATCTCAAAGTACGTCAGCAGTTATCCCTCGAAATCGAAGTAACATATACGATACCAAAAAGAAGATTATCAATGCGGGTATGGACAGAATTAATGACAAATTTGGAGAAGTGTTTGCCAATGCTTATGCAGACGGAGTAATCGCAGGAATCAATCGTGTTCTTAATATGTAAATAAACTAAATTTTTGTCATAATGAAAATAAAATTTTCATGTAAATTTTGTTGTCTTTCAATTCATGTGTTCACTTTGTGAGCACGGCATGCTAGACCGGTGCTCTCTAGGACTTTCACTACTAACAATACGTAAGTGTAATTGTGTAGGAACGATGTCGGTCAGCATACGTGTTAAATTATAAGTATTTCAGTTAGCTAACGTGCATAAGTATCATAGTCATATACAAGTCTTTAGGGACAATAGTAGGCATACCTTAGGCACTGCATTCGAGTCCCAGTTCTTATACGGTTACGTGTATTCGAAAGTATTGCATTACTAATGTTTCACTTAAAGCGTGATGTCAATCCATATGACTAAGGCTGTTGACATGTAGCGTAAATTCAACTCTACACCAGACGAATTATTGAATTCGTTGAGCTTTAACAATCGTATTTAGATTTAGCTTACACTAAAATATGCCACCAATTACTTCGTCAGTTCTTATTAATAAGTCATGTCTGCACCTAGTCATCATGACAAATACATCTAAACTCAGATATAATAAGAAAGGTCTGGTAAGCAGGATATTAAATGTATTTAATGAAAAAATAATAACAAGCAAATGTGTTTACGCAGTCGATTGTCGGAATAATTTGTGCAATGTCGAATCTCTGTGACTGGGGTGATTGACGTTACCAGATATCTACAAATAAGTAAACAAAGTGTTTTTTAAATAGCTGAAGTAAGGAAGAAGTAATATTAAAGGTAAACGATTTATATCTGCCTACCTTTGCTGAAAATGGTTTATTCTCCTTTCTCATTCTTTGGTAATGACATCATTATTCTGGGGTTTTCACTGCCACACACATTATTCCTCTTCTAAAGGATAGCAGCAAGCATATAGTAATAATTTCAAATTTCGTTTAAACCAATGTTTACAATGAATGCATGTCATTTCTACAGGCGCAATAAGTTATGTTATAAACTGCAATCGTGAAGTATCATGAATTATAAGAGTTAAATTGTAAACCCTTAACAATGAACACCGTACATTTGGCTAAGTGCTATGTCGTTGGAATGTGAGTATACATTTGCAATGTTTAATGCCAACCATATTGGTGTAAGGATAGAAAATATGATGTTTTCTATGAAAATACAGCTTTGTTCCAACACTGCTGTTGTTGTGTTTCTAATAAAAGCAAATAGACTGTAAGCATAAAGGCATATCCAGTTAACATAAAATGCAGTGTAATAGTGCACAAATGAAAAGACCATAGTGAAGTAGATAAGTGATACTTCAGTGAGAGGTAAATTGAAAGATCTGCAACCTTATAATATGGAAGACAACCTGACATGTAAGATGTCTCACAAATTTCTATAGGGCCTGTGGGGTACCATGGATGGTTTGGCGTCAATCGCAGCTTTGGAATAATGAGTTACAAATGCTAAAGGTAACAACCAACGAAACTGCAGTAGTATTTTCTAGCTGTTCAGCATTTTTTCCTTTAATGCAGTTTCTTATCAACAGTTTGCAGTATTCAGAACATCACAAGTTGCTTACAGATAACTTGTTTAATAATAACTGCGTTAAATATATGAGCCATAAGTGCATCTTCTACATCTTTCATAGCCACAATTAAGTCATTAAGGATCTCACAATATCTTAGTGATGTGAAGCAAAATAATTTTTAAGATTGATATAACCTATGTAACAGGTGTAGTAGTTGTACGACACAGCCGCCAGCTACTAATCGACATAAATCTGGTACTAATTTTAAGTACTCTGACATTTGAGAAGGACTATTTATACTATTCTTCCAGACACAATGAACACTGATGTCAATATACTCTGATGCCATTTCATGCACTGAGCAATTAAGGCCTTGTGAAATTCCATGTGCAAATGTCAATTAAACTATTTTCACATCTTCGCCCAAGCACTTTTAACTAGGAACTTCATCAAAATAGATATAATAACCAGGAAATTCAGCAGCCTGTCTCATTCATCGCATAATGTCGTCAATGTGTTATGGAATATTTCAGTCATCCCGGATGATAACAGAAAAGTTTAACATGTTCAAAGCACACATCTAACCTATGTCTGCATGCTATTTATCTTTCATAGGCCAGATTCTAATAGATTCACTGGAATGACAACAGCCATTGACTGCAGTATATTTACAACCTTAAGATCTGAAACAACTCGAAAAAAAACAAACCCTCAACGCACTATAATGCAAATAATAGTCTTTCTATGCGAACTTTCTTAAAAAGGATGACTTCTTCATTGATAATTCGTCCGAGCTATAATATACAATTTTACGCTCTACTAAGAACAAAATACAGCAAAATACTGCCATCCGGCTACATAAGTCTAAAACTAGTCAAATATAATCTATTTCCAAAAAAATAGGTGATTATAACGTCTGTTGACGTGAGCGCGGTAACCGATGGCATTGCGCGATAACACCTGGTGTCGGCCTATATCCTCACTCGATCGGTGACTCGATAATCCCTTATACTTCCGCCAATATGGAACCAACAACAAGGTCATTATACACAAATTTAAGAATAAATGCCACACCAGGCAATCACAATGATACTTCTGATAGCATTTCTACGTCTTCTAACGAACGGGGTCCTGTGGAACGAAGACTGCAGAAACGGTGACACGCGCCAGAAATATGGAGTTGGTTTTGATTAAACAACCATGAATTGATCGTTCATTCTTCAACTACATTGACACAATCTACAACCCTGTTCAGCTTCATGTCAAGATGATACCCACTGTGCCCTACAGAAATTCGCGAGACATCTTACAGGTCAGCTTGTCCTACGGCTTCTAATTTTTCAGATCTTAGAATTCACCCATCACTTTAACATCAATCACCTACCTCACAATAACCTTTGATTTACTCACTATTACACTCTTTCTCACCTTAACTAACCAGGCCTTTATTAGAGCTAAAACTTGCTCTTTGTTCATTTTTGTTGCGTGCCCAAAGTCAGGTTTCTTTGATTACAAACACAACAACACCAATGTTTGAACAATGCTGTATCTTGATTTCATCATGAGCTGACATTAGTTAGAGAACCATTGGAAAACCTGGGAGTACTGGACAGCTGTTTCCCCCGTCCTAGTTTGAGACTCTTCAGCAGTACGCACCCGCCGCCACGGTTCGAACCCAGGACCTTCCGGTTACAAGGCGAGGTAGCTCGTATACCATTAAGCCACTGGGACCCGATCCAATGGTCCTTGAATTCTAACTTCTGCCAATTCACGACATAGCGCGACCGCTAGCCAATGTCTCCGGTGGCGAGTATTTGTCCTCACACCCGACCAGCTGCACCCTACTGGTCACGACTTCCCACTGGAACCCAGGTAACTAACTACGCGAATAGGGCCAGTCGCCACTGAGCATCTCATTGGTATTCAAGTGTTGGTTTCATTCATTTATTTGATAGATTAGCAAGAATAAGGTATAGTCAATTTGGTTAGATTAAACAATCAAACACCTCGATGAATTTTCTTCTCAATCGATATATTACCAGAAAAAAAAGGCAAAAAAAGCATAAAAAAATAACAATACCAGTGAAAAAAAGTAATTAGAAGCACTCAACGGTATTTTGTTATTTTCTAAGATGATTAGTAAAACTTAATTCCCCATTGCAAACTAATTTGATCATTTAACTGTGTATATGGTCATTTTAAGAGAACATTTTTACAAAACAATACCAATGTGGACTAGTAAATCCGATTTTCAGGATTTCATCATGAGCTGACATTAGTTAGAGAACCATTGGAAAACCTGGGAGTACTGGACAGCTGTTTCGTGAATACCAATGAGATGCTCAGTGGCGACTGGCCCTATTCGCGTAGTTAGTTACCTGGGTTCCAGTGGGAAATCGTGACCAGTAGGGTGCAGCTGGTCGAGTGTCAGGACAAATACTCGCCACCGGAGACATTGGCTAGCGGTCGCGCTATGTCGTGAATTGGCAGAAGTTAGAATTCAAGGACCATTGGATCGGGTCCCAGTGGCTTAATGGTATACGAGCTACCTCGCCTTGTAACCGGAAGGTCCTGGGTTCGAACCGTGGCGGCGGGTGCGTACTGCTGAAGAGTCTCAAACTAGGACGGGGGAAACAGCTGTCCAGTACTCCCAGGTTTTCCAATGGTTCTCTAACTAATGTTAGCTCATGATGAAAATCTGAAACCAATCAAATCCCTACAAACCAACACTTAAATGGTGTATCTTAATCGAAAACATCATAGTTTACGTGTTTAGACCAATATGGTTTACATTAAGAATTGCAAATATATACTATCATTGCAAGTACTATATAGCTTTATCTTCCTTTATTTATCTTGCGGATATACTTCCAATAATGTATTATTCGCAATTGCATTTTAAACAATTTTGTAGATGCTCAGGATTCTCTTCACTTCCTCTAATGGCATTCAGTCACGTGACGGCATAGCACTCGTCCAGCTATACGCTGTTCAGTGAACGAAAATAATTATCAACAGGAAGCGGAAGGAAATTTCGGTTGTCGCAGAACATTGATGGTGATCTTAGTAAAAGGTTTAGAATTTAAAATATGAAAAAGTGTGTACTGAGAGTTCGTACAATAACTGAACAATTTACACGTTTGAAGTTGTATTAATTTATGATAGTTTAAGATAGTGATTCATAATATTACCGATAAAACCTGTGAAAATGGTGTCAGCAACGTCCCTTAAACCATTAATCCCCAGCTCTTGCTACGCTGGGCCTCGCGCTGTTCCACAAAGCCTCTCAGAAACGCTTAGTACGAACGGACGCAAAAACCAGGACACAGATTGGCGACTCGAGAATTATTTATTCTAACACCGACATATAGCCAACTTTACAACTAAGGTCTATGAACAGGTATTACAATAATAGGTCACGATATTACTTCTGACGGTTTTGTCCTGACTTCTTTCTGAACAGCGACCGATGA